GGCGAGGCTGGGCCCTGTGGGATGAGATCATCCCATGGACGGTGGCCGTTACTGGCATCACCTCGTAGTGTGTGACTTTAGGTCGGTTAACCTTTCTCGGTCTAATTTTTTATTTTTATTATTTTACTTATAAAATGGGGATAACAATACTGCTTATCTCATAGACTTACTATGCAGGTGGAGAGTGCTTGGAATAGGACCAGGCACATACTGAGGACCTCCCTGTGTGTGCGTGATTACGGTTGTTATTACAGTTATCCTCGCACATGCACTTCCCTGTGGGGGGTCGTGCTTCATGTAGACACATGCGTGGTACTCCTTGTCTGGCCTGGCGCTGAAATCCCTGCCGTCCCTGCCCTCAAGGAGCCCATGGTCTAGTGGAAGAAGGGGGTCTACTCAACCAGCCCAGAGACAAAGCACCACTGGCCGAGGTATGTGTTCACTGCTCCGGGATCCCACGGGAAGAGGGAGTTTCTGCCACCTGAGGGTCTTGGGGAGGCTTTCCACTCTGATGCTTGAAGATGCCCTTACCAGGAGATGAAGGGAGGGGAAGGGACCCCTGGCAGAGGGAACAGCATACGCAGCTGCTAGGAGGCATGGGGAGGGCGGAGAAACCAGGGGTCACGGGGGAGTCATCAGGGGGCCACTGGGAGCCACCCAGGTGCTCAGCAACCTCCAGACCTCAGACGAGCCAGGGTTCGTCAGTCCAGGAGCTTCCAGCCAGGCTGGACGCGGACAACTAGCATGGAACGCAGATCTCCAAGTCCCAGGATTGTGTCCCAGGCGGCTACTTTTTTGGAGCAGTGCTATTTTCCCACTCTACTGGGCACACAGAACAGAGAGGGCACGGCTGCGATTGCCCCAAGTGCCCACCTGTATGTAGATGGACTGGTTGGGTGCCCCCTACCCCCACTTCCATGTGAAGTTGGGGGCTGGAGGCTGGGCCCAGCCGGGGCTCTGCTCTACCCTGGAGCCCAAGAAGTGAGTCCCTTTCCTGGCGCTCTTTCCGAATAGTCCTTCCTAGGGCTCTCAGACCCTTCTGTGGATGCTTATTAAGTCAAGTGTCCAGAGTTGAGGGGAGGCTGGGCGGGGGATCAGCGACACTAGGGTACTAAGAGTACGCCCGATGGGTCCCACATCCAGAGGAGTATGGATAGGCTGGGCCCCCCGTCAGGACTGCGGAACCAGCACGGTCTCCTGATGTCGGGACTCCGCGGGCTGGAGGGCCACGCCCTCGGAGCCAGACCGGTGGTCCCACGTAAAAGAACACCTCCATCTTTGTCGCCCGAGGCCGGGCACTGCCCGATGCCCCGTCTCGGGAAAAGTTGGGCGGAAAGAAGTCGGAGAGCTCAGAAGCACGGCGGAGGGCACTTCGGAACGGGCAGGGGCGCTGGGCTCTCTGCCCTGGCCCTAGGACATAGGCCAGGGCGGCACCGCAGCTCGGTCGCACACCCTGTCCGTGCGCGGAAGGCCCGCCGGAGGCTCCTGGGCTGGTGGGAGAGGGGGCCCGGCCCGGCCACTGAGGCGCCCCCTCCTGCGCCCCGGAGGGAGCGGCCGAGCGAGCCCGCCCGCTCTTTCTTGTTCGCGTCCCTCCCTCCGCTGCCCCCGCCCTCGCTCCCTATTTGGAGCGGAGACACCCCTGACGTCGGAGCCGCTCGCTCGACCGCCGCTCCCCCGCACCGAGCGCCCGCCCGGGGCCGCAGACGGCGCGCTGCGCAGCCCAGCCGAGCCTCGCGGGGCCGCCAGTCCTGCTGGCCGTCTCCCCGAGCCTCTCGGGGCCACTGGGCCTGCCACCTCCTCGGCCCGCAGACTGCTCCGCAGGACCCGGAGGGAGCACCGCGCTCCTCGCTGCTGCCGCCGCCGCGCGCGGTAAGTCCTGTCCAGGCCGGCACGCGGGCGCTCAGCTTCAAGAGGCTTCGGCCGCAGGGCAGCGCCGCGCCCCCGGCGGCGGCGAGCTTTTAACCCCAGCCCAGGACACGGGTCTGAAGCTCTGCCGCCGAGCCCCTCCGGACCCCGGGGCTCGGGACGTGGGTGCGGCGTGGAGTGGCCAGGGGACACCTCTACTCCCTGAGCCCGTCCCCGGACTTTGTCGGTATTTTCACTTCTTGGTAGGAGTCACCACAGCCAAGAGAGAATGGGAGGGAGATGCGTGACGGAGCGAAAGCCCGGTGGGTCGAGGGCGGGTTGGGCTGCGCGGGCGCCGGGACAGTGCCCGGCGCTCGTTAGCCGGGCTCCAGCGTCCCTCCAGCTGCACCCAGGCCTCTCCGCGCTCCGGTATGTTTCTGCCTCCTTTCTGTGTCTCTCCCTTTCTTAATCTCAGTCTCTCTCTCTCTCCCTCCCTCCCCCCGCCCATCTGTCTCCCCCTCTCTTCTCTCTGGTTCTGTCCCCTTTCTCTTCCTCCGTTTCCAGTTGCCCTGGGTTTGTGTCTCTGCCTGCGTGTTTCCTCCGTGCCCCTCCGTGGGGGTCTCTCGCAGTGTGCCTGTGCGTGTTCCTGACCCCTCACCCTCAAACTCAGACAATCCTCCAGTGTCGGAGTGGTCGGAACAGTTCCCTAGACCCTGTGAAAGAAACGAAACCCTCCCCCCGCCTTCCTCCTGCCCCCGGGGCCTGGCCGGGGTCATCCCCCTGGAATTGAGTCTGGGCCGGGGGAGCCAGCCTTTCCGGGGGCTCAGTTTTCTTAAGAGTTCCACCCCCGCCTGGCGGCCTGGACAACAGGGCCCTGCTGCAGGCCACCTGCCCGCCTGCGCCCTGGGCGGGGCGATTCTGATCTTTTACAAGCAGCGGTGAAGGGGCAGCTGCCGGCCTTGGCATGGCCAGGGGGTGGCGGGCACTGGGGGAGAAGAGCACACTTTCAGGCTTTCCGAGGCCCCGCCCCCTGGGGGGGACACCAGCCTGTAACTAAGGGAACCCCGGCGAAAACAGAGGTCAGGGCCCGGGGCCAACGGCTGGGCGTGCTGGCAGGGGGTGGGGGGGGGGGAGGAAGCAATTTGTCAACAGGCCCCTCGCCCTTTGTTACTGTCGAATCACCAGCCTCCTGAAACTCCAGATGCCTGGGTGTGGCTTGCGTTTCGCTGGGGCCAGAGAAAAGGTGAAGCCAGAGCATTTTCTCAGTGACCCCCACCCCTCTCCCCCGGCCCCTGCAAACTCTCCTGGGCCTGGTGCCGGAGGGGTGGGTGCTCTGCACTTGCACTGGCAGTGGTTCTCTCCTGGTCTTTTAAAGTGAAATTTCAGAGGGCGTGTAGCCTTCTCCCACCCCCAGCCCCAAGGGTCCCAGGAGCCAGCAGGGATGCTGGTGAGGGCTGCAGGGGGACTTCTGCGGAGCAGATGTGCCTGTGCCGCCGGCCCTGCGGCAGCTCATTAGCATAGATTTGTTTTGGAGACCGCTTTGGGTCTTCCTGCAGGAGGGTCTGCGGGCAGGAGGGCTGTGGCCTGGGTTGGGGGTTTGTAGCCTGGAAGGTGGAGTTGCCAGGCGGAGGCGGGCAGGCCTTTTGGGCCTGGGCTTGGCCCTGCGTGTCCGCCTCCTGGATGGCTGGTTCATGCTCTGCCAGCGCCGACGGGGGAGGAAGGAAGCCGCCCTGCGGTGAGACTGGGGTCATGGAATCCCAGTGGCCTCCGGCAATACCCAAGGAGCCAGATTCCCTGTGAGGAAATCAGCTAAAGTGGACATTCCCAGGCTGCTCTCCCTATTTTGCAGATGTGAGGCTTAGGGAGTCAAAACCAGTGGCCTGCAGCCGGGGCTGGAACCAGTGGCTGCACACTTGGAGCCAACAGATGAGCCTGGGCCTGACTTTGCCCCGGCCCCTGAGTGGGCCCGAAAGACCTCACGAGCGGACCGCGACCGGCCCCCTCCCAGAGTGACCTTTCGAGTTGCACCATTCAAGGAAGTCCCTGCACTCGGGCCAAGATCTGAAGTGATGGCCCCGCCCTCGCTGATCCCTGAGCCCAGGGCCACAGACCACACCCTCTGCACCCGGCAGCCTGGCGGCCCGGCCCAGCCTGTTTTCTGGAAGTTGGATTCTGGAGGGGGCTGGTTTCTCCTGGACCCTGTCCCTTCAGTCAGTGGCCCAAGAATGACGAGTCAGAGTGGGATCTTGCCCTGGGCCCCCACCCTGGCAAGCGAGCGTGGGTGGGGGTGGGACTGGACGGATATAAAACCCGTTCCCAGCCAGCCATGCTGTCATCTGCATGAGCTTCTCCTCGAGGTCCCCCCTCGATCCAGTTTCATTGCAGCAGGTGCAGCCCGGGGTTTAGATTTAGATATTGTTGGGACCACCCAGGATCGGGCGGGAGGGAGCTGGGAGGAGAGGGTGAAGGGGGAGCGTGTGGGAGGCGGAGGGTTCGGAGGATGAGCGGCTCAGGGTGACTCCAAGCTAGCATTAACGGTGACATTTACTGAGGACGCACCCCATGACAGACGCCCTCTCCAGAGGCTTCCACGCACAGCTGCCCTATGAGGTGGGTACTCTCACCGCCCACTTTGCAGATGAGGAAACTGAGGCAGAGAAGGTTGCAGTGGCTGGGTGAGGGTGGGAACCGGGTCTGTCACGGCCTGTCATGACAATGGAGAAGACCCAGACCCTGCCCTGTGTGTCTCCCTTGCCATCTGGGCCCCTCTGTGAATCGGAGGCTTCACTCCGGGCTCCAGGATGCAGGCAGAGGGGTGGGTGACCCCTGGCGGCCGTGCTGTTATGGGGGGCCCCTTCCCTGGGGAGTTGGACTCTGGCTCCTGACCTGGCCAGGCCTCAGGAGCCTGTGGGGGCACATGGAGATCCGCCCAGGCCGCGCCCCACCCCTGAGGGGTCAGACCTGGGACTGAGCCTGAGGCCCGGACAAGCCTCTCTGGGAAGAGGCTGAGTGGTGGGCAGCATGGAAACGTAGAGGACTCCGAAGGCCTGCGGGACCCGCAGCCTGCCTTCTTCTTGCTGCCCCCACCTCCAGCCCTTCCCGAAGCCTGTTTTTTCACTTCCCTCTTTCTGGGCGTGGAAGATACACTGGCCACTGTCTTGGTCTGTGCCTCGGTTTCCCTAGCACTAAAATGGGTCAGCTAAGTGTCCCCACTGGAAACTCCCTTTCTGTGTTGTTGGCAGCCTCAGAATGGGTCGAATGTTTGTCCAGGTCTCGGAGGGTCTGAAGGGCTTGGATCTGGGAGGGGCAGTGAGGCTGGAGGAAGGCAGGAGGAAGGCCTGCACCCTGGGCTGCAGGCGACCTCACCGAAGCCCGCAGGGGACTGGGGGCGCGGGTTGAGGGGCTCCGGAGCTCCCCAGCCAGGTGGTGGCCGAACAGGGATGAGAGACACAGCAGCTAGGCCGGGCTGGGGCAGGGCCAGCGCCAGGGCCAAGGGCAGGGAACCCGAGGCCATGTGCCCCCTCCACGTTCCCAGCCACCTTCTCCATTTCCTGCTCCCTCTTCTGTGACCCTTTTCATCTGCAAAGGAGGCTGGTGCTGTCCAGGTTCAAAGCTCAGTTTTGTTTACTATTTATTGGCTGTAACTGTAGATGAGGTGTTCTGAGCACCTTAGGTGTATTCCTTTATTCAGTCCTTCTGACGGAGGCACAGAGGTTCCCTGTAAATAGTGGATCTCCTTTTGCTCTTTACTTCTCAGTGAATCTCGAGCCAGCCTCTCAGCATCTCTGTGCCTCAGTTTCTTCACCTACGCAGTGGGGGTATAGAGACTCCATGGCATAGGGCCGTGGTGAGGACTGAATGAATGGATTTATGCAGAAGAGCCTGCAGCAGCGCCCAGTCCACAGTCGGCTGCCCTGGGCTGGATAAATGCCTCCCCTCCCCTGGCCTTGGTTCACGTAGTGTCCTCAGCCAAGAGTGCGCTTCCTGTCTCCACCATCGGTAACTCACTGTGATCCTGTGTTAAATCCAGGGTTAAGACTCTATTCCCTGCCCCCCACACCCCTCTCTGCCGGCCCCTCCCTTAAACAACCTCCCCTGAACCTACCCCCTTCTCCTCCCCGTCTAGGTTCAGAGTTCCTGAGTGGGCACGGGGTCCGGGGCCCCAGCTCCCCTGCCCACACCCTTGCCTTCCTCTCCGCCATCCTAGGAGGTGCCCAGTAAATGAGTGTGGACTGCAGGGAACCGAGTGACTCTGGGGAAGGGTGCTGCTTGGCTGACTCACTGGGGGGGGGGGGCTCAGGACAAGGCAGAGAACCCCCCTTCCCACCCTGGTGTTCTGTAAGTCCGTGACCCACCATGTGACACTCAGAGTGGGGAGGAAGGTGTGGGAATAGGGAGTGAGGCTCTCAGGAAGGAAGGTCCGACTGCTGCAGAAACCAACCAAAAGGTAAACCTGTTGGCACAGAGCCCACCCTGGTCAGTGCCAGTGTGGTCAGTGCCAGTGCGCAGCGGCGGGTGGGGGTGGGGCTGGGGCTCGGCAGGGATTCTCGGTGGCTGGGTGTGAGGGCCGGGGGGTGGGGGGAGGGTGTCCTGATGACAGATGTGTCGTGTCCGTGGGAGAGAGTGGCCTGGCCTCCTTGCCTCCTGCTCCAGTGCCCAGCTTTGGCTCCAGTGCCCACCCAGCCTTTCCCAAGACCCCCCTGGGGGAGGAAAGCTGACCTGAGCTGGGTACCTGTTGGGTCCTGGGTGCTTTCCCTGCATCTTCTCAGCTGCTCTCCGAGGAAACTGCTTTGCTCTCTGGTCTAGGGTGGAGGTAGGTGGGTGCAGGGAGGCGAACTTTATTTCTGGAAGTCACACAGCTCCTAGGTGGGAAGGCTGGGACTCAAATGCAGGAGATCCCAGGGGCCGAGCCTGCGGGAGCCCAGGCAGCCTGCTGGAGCTCAGGGCTCCCGGCCCCTCCTCTGGGGGAGAGGCTGCCTGGGCTGGGCCCGTGTGCCTCTCTGTGCATGCAGCTGGCCCTTGGGGTTAGCGCTCAGCTGTGTGCTAGAAATGTAGGAAGACTGCCTCAGTGTCTCATTCCTCATCAGCTTCTGCCACACGGTGACCCTAGTAACCAGTCCCCGTCCCCTGGGCCAGCGTCCCCCTTAGCCACTGTTTTCACCCAGCAAGCCTTGTTATTAACCTCAGCCCCAGTCTCCACTCGCCTTGAGCCTGACCCTGGTCCATGGCCTCGGTTCTGACCTCTCCTTATCCCGGCTCCACGTCAGGCCAGGGTTCCATTAAAATCCCAGTCTCGATTCCCAGTCCTAAGGAAACCTGAGGTTGGCCCTGTCTGCCGCCTCCCTGGCCACCCCTGCCTCGACCTTCCTGATAAGTCGTGATGGAGTCAGGTATAGGACAGAAGTCCCCAGATTTCTCCGAGGTCTCTAGGGGACCAGTCCAGCCTGGGGAGACCCGGGGGGCCCTGGCCTTAGTTGGCCTCTGGCCTCCTCTGGTCAGCCATGGTCAGACCCTGCCTGACCCAGGTTGATTCCCTGGGGACAGACGGGCACCTTTGGGAGTGAGGAACCTTCCTGGGTGCTAAGCCTGTGGGAAAATTAGCTAGGTGGCCAGTTAGGAACAAGTCCATGCTATTTTGTTAGGATGTGGTTGCACCAAAAACACGGGCTTTGCTGTCTGTCTTGTGAGCGAGACCAGAAGTGTGTGGGTGGGGGCCTGGGCCAAGGCAGGGTCCCATCTGGGATGGGGGGAGACTGTCGGGACTCACCTCCGACTGCTCTCCCTGTTCACCCCACCCCCACTCCCACTCCCACTCCCACTGGTGGCTGTGGACGTGGTCACAGCCCAGCAGGCAGGACACCCTCAGCGTGTCCCCTCCCGGACACTGTCTCAAGTACCTGCCTCTTGCATCAGGAAGCGGGCTAAGCTTGTCCTGCCTGGGCTGTCCCGCTCGAACCAGAACATCTCTAGTGCTGGGCTTCTGTGGGGCCAGTGGGTCAGGGCCTGCCTCCTGCTCCTGTTTCAGCCCCACTCAGGCCTCTCTGGGGACTGTCCCAAGACACAGACTCCCAGACTGGCAGAGTTGTGTTGGTCCCCGAAACTTGTTCGAATCGCAGACTCCCGCCCACCTCTGACTTTCACACCACGAGTCCCCAGGGGATTCTGAGGATCTCAGAAACCAGTGGTCCCCGGCACCTCACTCATCTTACAGGAAGGGGCCGTGTGGCCTGTGTGCAGGGTCACAGCACGCGTGGACTCCTGACCATCCAGTGCCCTTTCCCCAGCGGCCCTCCTTGTAGGCATTGCCCTCCTTCCTGAAGTTCCCCAAAGCCTTCCTCCTCCACACTTTTTGAGGCGGGTGGGGTGGGGGAAACCCAGGGAAAAGGGGGTGGGGAACCCTGGGAGAGTCCCCTCCGGGGGAATCCTTGGGACGCACACGCTGCCCTGCAGCGCCATCTGCTGGCAAGTTCTGGTGTTACAGTGTCTTACTCCTATTTGTACTTTGCTGTGTATAATGTGCACTTTTTTACCCAAAATTTTGAGGGGAAAATAAGGATGCGCATTGTATATGGGTAGTACTAATTTCATGTCTATATAAATGTTTTTAATTCTTTTGCTTCTGCTTATGTGTTAGAAGTGTAACTCTAGAAAGCAATAATGATATCTATGTGCAAAATAATACATATACTAAAATTCCTTTATAATCCCCCAAAAAGTATCTAAATAAAAATTTAATTAAAAAATAAAACGAAAGATTTTTTTCCCCTGAAAGTCTGGGTCAAGAACGTGGGTGTGCATTATACATGACAAAGTACGGTAAATTACTGAGGGTCCAGCCCTGGGCGTGGATTGTCTCCTCCCTGCCCCAGGCTGGGACCCGGCTGCTGGCTGCGGATGTCGGTGTGTGGGTCGACTCAGGGCTCCGGGCTTTGGTGGGGCATCCGACAAAGAAATACGGTCTGGTCTGGGACTATTGTTATTATATTTTTTTACCTGGGGTCCAGCCAGCCAAAACGGCCCAGGATTCAGTAATACAAAGGTGGAAGTGAGTGTTCCGGACAACAGCTGTGGCCGCAGGTCCTGGTGCTGGACAGCCAGCCCTCAAGGGCCCCCACAACATCAGAGAGAGGAGGGAGCTAATTAATGATCGCCCAACCCCCAGCACGTGCTTGAGACTTAATGTCCTGTTAAGTGTTGATGGCAGTCCTTGGCCACGCCCAGTGTCACCACCCCCATTTTTCAGATGAAGAAACCGAGGCACAGTGGTAGAAGCAGTTTGTCCAAAGCTACCTTGTACGTTATAAAAACAACCGACACGTGGAGTGTGTGTTTTCTCCTGAGGGCTTTTCATGGAACACCTCATTTAATCTCCCTGATACCCTCTGATGTACATGCTGTTCACAGCCCCGGTTGTTTTAAAGATGTTATTTATTTTTAGAGAAAGGGAGAGAAACATGGATGTGAGAGAGAAACATCAATTGGTTGGCTCTTGCACATGCCCCAACTGGGGAGCCAGCCCGCAAGCCAGGCAGGCGCCCCGACCAGGAACTGAACCAGTGACCCTCCGCTTTGCAGAACCATGCCCAACCAACTGAGTCACACCAGCCAGGGCAGCAGCCCCAGTTTTGAGGTTCATAAGGGAGAAATAACTTTCCAAGGTTGTGCTTGGTTAGGATTTGAACCCAGGGGGTCAGATGTCAGAGCTCATGCTTGTAACACCACCACCCCCCTCTTCCCAGCCTCCTGAGCTTGGCCGGCCTCACCCACATCCTGTGCTCAGTTCTAGGGCTCTCCAGGTCACGGGCATGATGCTCCGGGTTCTGGTGGGGGCTGTCCTCCCCACCATGCTGCTGGCCGCTCCACCGCCCATCAACAAGCTGGCGCTGTTTCCGGACAAGAGTGCCTGGTGCGAGGCCAAGAACATCACCCAGATCGTGGGCCACAGTGGCTGTGAGGCCAAGTCCATCCAGAACAGGTGGGATCCAGGGCGATGGGTGGAGGGCGGGGAGGAAGGCAGGGGCCCAGGAGGGAGGAAGAGGCAAGGGCTGCCCGTCCTTGCCTCTGTCACAGTGACAAGGGCACGGTGACCTCTCCTCCCACAGAGCGTGCCTCGGCCAGTGCTTCAGCTACAGTGTTCCCAACACCTTCCCGCAGTCCACGGAGTCCCTGGTGCACTGCGACTCCTGCATGCCGGCCCAGTCCATGTGGGAGATTGTGAGTACCGCAGCCCCTGCCCGCCTGCCACACCCCCAGAGCTGTGCATGGTCTGACTCACCAGTCTTTCTAGCTTCACCTTCTCTCACCTTTTTCACTAGTTTGAAACTTGATGCTGGCTCACCTCCTTTCAGCCTCTCACAGCTGCTTTGCTGGTTATCATCACCACGGGGCCTTTGCACGTGCTCTTGGCCCTGGTTGGAACACCTTTCTCCTCCTTCTCACCTAGTGAACTTCTATCTGACCCTCTGCCCGTAGCCCACGCATCGTTTTCTCAGGGCCCCTTTCCTGGCCCATGAGCACTGTGTGCCTCTGCTTTGAGCATCCGTCACATCCCCAGTTCTCTGTCTGCATTTGGGGGATTTGGGCAAGTCTGTGTCCCACACTAGACTCTGAGCTCCTGGAGGGACCGAGCCTTGTGTCCCGGGAGCTGGCATGGAGTAGGTGTTGTGTGGAAGGAGGGAGGGAAAGAAAGGGAGGAAGGGAGGGGAAAGGATGGTAACCAGGGGCAGAGGGAGACGCTAGAGGTGTTCATACAGGGCAAACCTCAGCTGGGCTGGGGGTTCCGGGGTCAGGAGCCTTTTGAGGAAGTGATGTCCGAGCTCAGACCCAGAGGTTGAGTAGAAGGTAACTGTCATGTTTTGGGCAGGTGGTAGGGGTGAGGACCTTCCAGGTGGAGGGAGCAGCATGTGTACAGTCTCATGCAGCTCATTTGGCCCAGTTGACGGGAGTGGCCCAAAGTCAAAGTCAGGGGTAGAGAGGTTTGCCAGGTGCAGCCTGAAGGGCCTGCGTTTCCTCCAAGTGCTAGGGAACGGGCCGAGGGGGGAATTTTTAAAAATTACTTTATTGTTGTTTAGTTAACAGTTGTTTGCATTTTCTCCCCACCCCTCCCCCAAAGGGGATTTTAGGCAGGGGCCAGTTCACACTGGGTTTTCCCCCTCAGGGTGCCCTCTAGAGGCTGCGAGGTGATAGGTGGGAAAGTGGCAGGACTAGACCTGAGGATACAAGTCAGGTGGCACCTGCAGGAACTCCCCCCCCACCTCCGTTCCCCCTGGATGGGCCTGCAGAGCTGACTGGGGCCTCAAGGCCGGCTCAGGACTCCAGGGTCTCTGGGATTCTTGGTCCCCTGAGGATGTGTTACTCTTGGAACTTCCCTCTCGGCCACAGGCCTTTGGAAACACCCCCGCTGCCCTCCCCAGGTAACGCTGGAGTGCCCCGGCCACGAGGAGGTGCCCAGGGTGGACAAGCTGGTGGAGAAGATCCTGCACTGCAGCTGCCAGGCGTGTGGCAAGGAGCCGAGTCACGAGGGGCTGAGTGTCTACGTGCAGGGCGAGGATGGCCCGGGCTCCCAGCTGGGCCCCCATCCCCACCCCCACCCTCACCCCCACCCTGGTGGGCAGACCCCTGAGCCTGAGGATCCCCCGGGCCCCCCCCACACTGAGGAAGAGGGGGCTGAGGACTGAGGCCCTCGACTTGCTCCCCTCTCATCCCCCATGGAATGCTGGGGGAAGTGTGTGGGGAGAGGCTGAAGCCCCCCTTTGGCACTGGATGGACTTGGACTTGGAGTGCTTCCCAGTTGCCATGGAGATCTGCAGGGAGGGGTTGGAGCCAAGCTGCACAATTTAATATATTCCAGAGTGGGGGGAGGAAGCAGAGGTCTTCAGGGTTCTTTTTTGGAGAATGGGATTCCCTTCCTTTCTGCCTCCTAAAGATGTGCCCTGGGGAAGGGGGGGAAGGGGAGGAAGTTGGCTAAGCTGCTGAGGGGTGGGTGAGGCCATCCAAGATGGCGGGAGCCAGGCTAAGGCCCACACGATCTCTGGTGGGGCAGGGCCCCTGGGGTGCAGTGGTGGAGCTGGGCACTGAGCAGAGGGTGGGTACCTCGCCAGCAGCGGCCCTGAAGGAGGGCATGGGTCCGGACTAGGAAGGCCACTGGCTAAAGCAGGGAGCTCCAGCCCGTGCCCCACAGGCTTCTCCAGAGGCTGCTGCTCACCCCACTCCTGTGCTAGGGCAGCTTCTCTGCATGGCCCCATGGTGGCCCCCCACCCATGGTTCGGAGTCAGGCCTGGGCAGGACCCTACTGACTCGTGGCGCTGGAGCCAGGGGCTAGGCTCTTTGGGCCTCTGGCTTTCTTGGCTTTTCAGGGGTCGGAGGAAGGCAAGGGAGGACCCTTCCTAGGCTAGGGCGTGGCAATGACCGCCCCCATCACCACAAACAGCATCCTTCCCTCTTGTCTCCGAGATCTTAGTGCTTCCCACTGCCCCCAAGTCCCAGGCCCCTCAGAAAGCCGATGGAGCCAGCCTCACCCTGTTGTGGGAACTTTTTCTAAATATTTGATTTGGGGAGGGGTCACCCTGACTCAGATTCCAAGGGAGGGCCTGGGTGGGATGGACACCAGCTAAGCCTCAAGAAATTAGGAGGAGAGGCGAGGGCCTCCTGTGGGGGGCGTGTTCCCTGTGGCTCTCCAGCTGCCCCATCCCAGCAGCCTCGCCCCTCCCACTGCACTTTAACCCTGGAGGGGGTGAGGGACCCAGACCAGGGCAGGGAAGCACTGCCTGTGTCTGCTCCTCCGTCCCAGGCAGCGTCCAGCCCTACCAGCTCCCGCCTGGGGCTGCCCGCCTGTCACAGCTGTTCTGACAAGAGCTTCTGGAGCTTGTAACCAGTAGATTGTCTCCCTGACGGACCCTGAGTTTCCTCACGAATAAATTCGTTCAGCGCCTGTGTTTCCTTCCTCACTGGCTGGCTCTGCTGACCCAGGGTTCCTGCGGGGGCCTAGGGGGAGGGCATCCTGGGTGGATGGACCCTCTTGTGCCCTGGTGATCTTCTCACTTTGCTGCCGCAAGCACCTCTAGGCCCCGTCTCCCAGCTCCCACCTCTCCCTGGGTGCCTGTTCTTGGCCTTGCTTATATCTGGTGGGCTTCCCCAGTGGGGCTTCTCTGGGTTGGGGCTTGCCTCATCCCATCTCCACCTGTGCAGCAGCCCCACCTCTGCCCTTCCCTGGCCCCCAGCCTGGCCTGGATGGGGAGAAGGGGGAACAGCATAACCAGCGACTGATGACAAACTATATACAGGTCGGGCACTGCTCTAAAGATTTTACACCAACAGCTTGCCTAATACTCACCGCCACCCTGTAAGACAGGGATGGCCCCCATTTTGCAGACAGGGCCTCTCAAGTGCAGAGGGCTCAGTGTGCCAGGGCCACCCAGGAACAGGACTGAAGGCCAGGCAGTCTGGACTCGCCACTCGGCTCTCGGTGTAACCTTAGCAGTTACCACTTCTCTGTCTGCTGTGATCTGGGCTGCCCCCACCCCTGACAATGACAGTGTGGTAACATTACCCCCAGATTCTCCACTGGGACAGGACAGGGTGAGGGCTAGGACCTTTGTTCCTCACACACCTGGCTGTGCCCACCACATTACCAGACAATTACATTATTTCTAAATGGGGAGAAATGCTCGTCATGCTAATGAGAAAAATGAGGGCCTTAATTGATGCCTGGAGAGAGATTTGCCCACCCTAGAAAGTAGCGGCCCCAGGATTCCAATCGGGCGCCCTCTAGTGATGAGGGTTGTGAACTACACGTGATTCCCTTAGTGTCCTGAGCCTTTCCTTCAAGGCTGCTCTGCACTGTTGTGCAGGTTGTGAACGTCCCGACTCTAGAATGGCACTTACTGCACTCGTGCAGGGCACAACTTGCATGGCCGCCCACGGCAGTCTTGCAAGCCCTGTCGTGGAACTGCATGCGGACTTCGGTGACCCTTCAGTCTCGGAGGGTCAAGCCCTGGTCACATTAATAGTCCTATATGGCTGCGGGTGGGAACCCACTCCCGAGTGCGCAGCCCTGCGGGGCTTCCGAGGACACAGAGACCAGGTCCAAATTAAAGGCTACGGGGGCTGTGGCTTTGGTGCTGGGCGTCTGAGATCGGCACTGTCTGGGCAGCATGTGCCTCGGTCAGGAGCCGCCCCCATCCTCTGTGTGGGATAAGGCAGGGTATAAGTTCATAGAAATATAAAGAAACTAGTTAGAGGCTGCTTGGGAAGAAAGCAAGAAGGTGGGTTGGCGGGACTGGTGGCAGGCTCGGAACGCTGGTCAGAGAGCAGACTTCTCTCTTTGCAGTAGGAGCCTTGGAAGTGTCTGCGCAGAGCTGAGTGTCATTGAGACTGAAAAGAAGACTTGTGGGGAAGAGGGGGAGGCTGGAGACCAGCTGGAAACTGCAACAGTCCAGGCGGGTGATGGAAGTCAGAGCTGGCCATTAGTGAGTCTGGGAAGGCGGGGCCCACCCAAAGAGAGACGCCGCTGATTGGATTTGGGAGCAGTGAGTGGGAGGAGCCAGGTTTGAGGGACTAGAGGCTCAGGTTAGCTGTGCTAGTTTGCCGATGGGAGCGAGATGTGAAGTAGAGACTGCCAGTTTTTCTCTCCACCTACCTCAAATGGACAAGACAATCCCCCCAAAACTGCATCTCCCCTCCGCCATCCTTCCTCCCCACCCTCGCCCTCAAGGGATTGAAAGTTTTCACAAGGGCCCTGACTGGTGCGTTCAGTGGGTTGGGCGGGCCCAAAGGTCACGGGGTGATTCCAGGTCCGGGCTCAGGGCTGGGTTGCAGGCCAGGTCCCCGGTTAGGGGAGCGCAAGAGGCAACTAACTGATCGATGTTTGTCTCGCATATCGATGTCTCTTTCCCTCTCTTCCTCCCTCCCTTCCCCTCTCTCTAAAAATAAATAAATGCAAATCTTAAAAATAAAATCTCTACAAGGGATTAACACTGACACAGCATGGGCAACGCAGGCCCCTCCCAGGAAGGGTGGGAAATAGGTCCCTCTTCCCTGCCTTGTTAGCCTGTATGAGGAGGACAACCGCTAACTAGTTTTTTGTTCCTCTCCAGCTCCAAGCCTCAGAGGAAAAAAAAACAGAAAAGTTGGGTTCAAATCCTAGCAGAGCCACTTCTTAGCTGTGTGATGTTGAGCAAGTCACTTGAGATCTCTGAGGCTCCGATTTCCCAGCAGTAAAATGCAGAGTAGTACACCTTCCTCACTCTCGGGGTCGTCGTGAGCTTTTTACATCAATCAATGTAACTATTGAGCCTGAAACAGTGTCTGGCCCGCAGTGAATGTCAGTCATCATTGAAGGTACTGGGATGAATGACTGGCCCGTGCCTGCTAGTGGTCGGGCTGATAGTTTTGTCTGTTCATTTATCGAACATTTATTTACAGACAGCCCGACACGGGCGGAGGGCATAGCAGTGAACAAAACCCACACACTGCTGCCTTCATGAAGTTTCCCCAGTTGGCCAGTGTCTTCTGTGAGAGCAGTTTGGGGCAGACCTCGCGCCCTCCCTGGACCTTGGTTCCCCTGTCTCCGTGATGGGGAGCTCCCTCTGGTCCTCCGTGTGCTGACAAAAAACGGGCCTGGGGCAGAGGACTGCCTAAGACTCAGCTGTCCCATTGTGGCACCAGCCTTCTCCTCTAGGGAGAGAGCGCCCTGTGGCCAGAAGTAACCAACCAAAGGCTAAGCGTCCTTGAAGGTCCCTCTCTACCCTGAGACGTTAAGGAAGCCTAGGACAGTAATCAACACCGGAAATGAGAAACTTAGGAGCACACACTGAACTTCGAAGTTCTTAAATGTAACATAATAACAGCATGGCCACAAGGTGGCACCACCACCCAGGCCCAAGCTTGAAAAAAGACTTAAAATGATAGCAAAGTACAGATCATAATATAACAAACATCTGTGTATCTATCACCCAGAATGAACAAACATTAACTTTTTTTGTCATGTTTTCTTTAGGTCTTTTTTTTTTTAAATAAAGGCTATCAAACATGACAGCTAAAGTTAAAGCCGAGGGACTGATACTCTATTCCACTCTTCACCACTAATTTTTCAAAGCTAAAATTGATCAGGCAGCTCCCTCTGTGTGAAATGGTTAAGTGCTCACTCTGCCCACATCTTCATCACCCCAGTTTCAGAGACCGGAAGTGGAGAACTGAAGAGGCTTTGCCAAGTTCACAGAGCAAGTAGCAGAGTCAGGATCATCAACGCAGGGCCCCAGGCCATGAAGTCAGCTAGCTGCACACACTGCTGCTCAGGTGTGCCGTTGCTCAGCCCGACACCCCCAAGCTGAGGGGTCACTGCAGAGCTGAAGGCACATCCGTTGTTCAGGCGGGAACGTTGAGGCCAACCCCAACGTCACCTAGCACTGACGCGGGGCCATCAAGTTTACAGATGCTCCCTGGGTCATTTCATCCCCCCAGCAACCCTGGGTGTGGGGTGCTGTGTTGCTCTGCTAACAATTGCAGAGGAGAAAATAGTGACCCAAGGAGATGGAGCCGCTGGCCTCAAGTCCACACAGAGCTAGCACGTGGCAGAAATGGGTCCCAAGTCTGGTCTTTACGATATTCACCCAGTGCTTGGTATACTACATCCCGTTCCTGGGGACATGGCAGAAACTGTCAGGGGGCACAGGTGTTGTTGGAAGGGATGGCAGGCCTCTTCTTCTTGTTGCCTCGACCCACCTGTGGGCAAGACGGGCTCTGAGCACCAAATGGTGGCTCATGGGTGGGTGAAGGTGCTGTAGGGTCTTAAGGTTTCTCTGCCTTGGGTGTTGGGCGATCCACGTTTCAGTTCCACTTGATCACTTGCTGCTGGAGACCTTGGGTGAGGCCCTTGGCCTCTCTGAGCCCCACTTTAATGTCTGTCACTCAGCGTTATTAGAGAGGTCGGAACGATTAAAAAAAAAGCCTTTGGAACAGAGCAGGCAGGACCTCAGCTGTGGGAGTGCTCGGGGCTCAGAACAAGCCCCCACAAGGCATGTCTCTGCAGGGCGCAGATTCTGGGGCTGAAGGCGAGTGCAACCCTGCGGGCTTGGAAAAAACTTGGACCTCTCCCGTAAAGAATTTCACTGTGGGGCCTTGCCCGTCATAGGAGTTATCACCAGAAAGAACCTTTTCTTGATACATCTATACGACAGGGGGAATATCTAATTATCGGACACCTGCTCTTCTCACCCAGCTGCGAATGGCCCTCCTCCCTTCCGAGGCCCTAAGGCCCCGACCTCGTCCTTGGTTCGGGATGGCACATGCGCCTCACCGTCCGTGTCTGACTCAGAGCCTCTCATGTATGTGGGGTCCCTGTGTGCACGTATGCAGTTACATTTGGTTCTTTCCTCTTGTTCATCTGAAAACAAGATGGTCTATTTGATTGTTAGCTCAGCTGGAAGAACTTAGAAAGGGAGGGAAAATTTCTTCCTCCCCCACAGAGGTATCACTGTTCTGTACCTATGAAGGGACAAGTTGCCCCCCCAGCCCCCGCATTTCCCTGTAGTGATTGTCACTTGATGACGACGCGTCTGTTATAATGCTTACTGTTTGTCTCCTTCCACTGGAATGCACACGCCACGGAGCTGGGGTCTCGGTTTGGGTCACTGCAGCGTCCAGTTGGGCAGACCAGCAGGCCAGCACGGACACCAGAGTGACACAGACTGGGTGCTCAGTAAATGTTTGTCGAAGGAACGAATGGAATCCACAGCATTGCCCTGTGAAGTTTGACAAGACTCTCCTCAGCCAGGAGAAGCGATACACGGGGGTGAGTGGGCTAACGCCCTGGGGCGCAGCGCCCCGCCTCGCTACCTGCAGTGACTCCACCGCGGACCGGCCTGGGGCTCCCCAAACCTGTTCACGCCCGTTACACTGGGAGCGCCCGCACGCCGGGGGGCTTCTTCCTTGCTGTGCCCGCCGCTCT